CCAAGGTAAGGCCCGGCGCTTCTGCTGCGGTTGTGCTGCGTGCAGGGGGCAGGTTTGGGGCACAGCGTGGGCCGAGGCTGGGCAGCGAGAGGAGGGTCAGGGACGAGGCTGGAGAGAGTGTGCGGACTGCAGGGCCGCCACGCCCCCGAAGTCCTGGAGCGCTTTTTGGTTCCACTCCTTAAAAGAGGAAGTCGAACACGGCCAGCGTGGCTCAGTGGTGAGCGTCGACCTAGGAACCAGGAGGTCACAGTTTGATTCCGGGTCAGGGCTCATGCCCGGGTTGTGGGCTCCATCCCCAATGGGGGGCGTGCAGGAGGCAGCCGATCCATGATTCTCTCTCATCATTGACGTTTCTCTCTCTCTTTCTCTCCCTCTCCTTTCTTCTCTGAAATCAATAAAAATATATTAAATACGTCACTAGCTCTGGCGGTTTTCCACTTCTGAAATGTTGCACCCACACCACCTGCTCCTTCTTTTTATGCTGGGTTCTTATCACCTAGTGAGCCCACTCCCGGGACCTCCGCTTACACGGAGGAAGCAGACTGAGGGGCTTCTGTCCCCCAGGCTCACCCAGCGCCTGGGGAGGGGCGGGGACGGAGGCCGCGTGGCGGGTTGTCCCCGCTGTGTGTGTGAGCAGTTCCTCTCCACACCCACAGGGACACACACATTCGCTCATGAACGGCCTCCCGGCCGCCGGCGAGGTCAGCGCTCATCTCGCTGCGGCACTGGTGGGCGTGGCTGGGGCCTGGGAGCCAGGCCGCGGAGGCTCTTCTCTGCCTGACGCGGGATGGGCCTGGACGGAGGGTTAGGCCGAGGCGGCTCTTTCACTTGGGAGCCGGCACACAGGGCGCGTCCCCCGGTGGTGGTGATGGTGTGCCGAGCTCACATGAAGCAAGTGCTGGCTGCGTGTCAGGCACTGTCTTAGCCCCGGGAAGTCCCACCTGCGTAGACGGAGTCCCAGGCTCCGCGGAAGCCACTGGCCCGTGGCCGTGGGGAGGGGGGAGGGCGCTGAAAGAAACATATTTTTTAAAAAACAGAGGTGCTGGTGGAGACTGCAGAGGCTCAGCCCCGTGGTTCGCTGCTGTGGAGGGTGGGGTTCTGCTGTTCACTAAACGCAGGGCAGTGAGCCCACGGCTCCCGGGACCTCCGCTTACACGGAGGAAGCAGACTGAGGGGCTTCTGTCCCCCAGGCTCACCCCGTGGCTCCCGGAGGCCCCCTCTCCTTTGGGGGTCTTTCTCCGTCTCTGTGTCTGTCTCTGTGTCTGTCTGGCTGTCCCTGCCTCTGTGTGCCTGCGGGGAGGGGCAGTAGGGGGTGTCTCTGTGTCTGTGTCTGTCTCTCTCTGCCTTCATCTTTGTCTCTGTGTCCTGTCTCTGTCTGTGTGTCTGACTGCCCATCTCCTCTGTCTGACTCTGTGTCTGTCTGTCTCCCTTCTCTTCCTGGACCCCAGGGCCGGGAGGGCCGGGCCCCGTGTTGGCTCCAGGCTGCCAAGAGGAGAGGGTTGGAAAGAATGAGCATCGCCGGGCGGGAGGGAGCCGGGGCGGCCGCTCGGCCGCGTCAGATGGTTTCCGAGTTTGCCGCCTGGGTTTCAGCTGTTGCTACAGACAGGAATTCGATGGGATTTCTGTTTTTTTTTCCTTTTAAAGTGGAAGGGAGCGGGGCAGCCAGAGAGAGAGAGAGAGAGAAACATCGATATGACAGAGACACATCAATTGGTTGCCTCCCATAGGTGGCCCGACAGGGGGCGGGGATGGAAGCTGCAACCCAGGTACCTGCCCTTGACCGGGTGTGTCCTGTCTCTGTCTGTGTGTCTGACTGCCCATCTCCTCTGTCTGACTCTGTGTCTGTCTGTCTCCCTTCTCTTCCTGGACCCCAGGGCCGGGAGGGCCGGGCCCCGTGTTGGCTCCAGGCTGCCGAGAGGAGAGGGTTGGAAAGAGTGAGCATCGCCGGGCGGGGGGGAGCCGGGGTGGCCGCTCGGCCGCGTCAGATGGTTTCCGCGTTTGCCGCCTGGGCTTCAGCTGCTGCTCCAGACAGGAATTCGATGGGATTTCTGTTTTTTTTTTCCCTTTTAAAGTGGAAGGGAGCGGGCAGCCAGAGAGAGAGAGAGAGAGAGAGAGAGAGAGAGAGCGCGGTTTTGGGCTGGAATGAAGGCAGCTGCCATCGGGACCACCTGGAGGCCACGCCAGCTCCCTCCGTCTCGTTCCGGGAGGACTTGGCCCCGGGGACGGTACCCTGACAGCTCGAGATGACGTGCACACGTGAAAGGAGCCGTGTTAGGGAAACGCACAGCTCGAGGTTGGCCGTGTGGCCCTGGCCGGTGGCTCAGTGGTTAGAGCGCCAGTCCGCCCACCCAAGGGTTAGGGGTTCGATTCCTGGTCCAGGGGCCCTGCGGGTCTGGTTTCAGCCGGCGTGGAGGTGCGCGGTGGGGCACAGGGCAGAGGGCACGGGTCGTGCGAAGGCTCCCAGGGGCTGGAACACATGAGCCGCTGCCGGTGTGGTTGGTGCTGCAGGGAGTCAGGTGCCCGCCGTTCCCGTGTCCCGGGGGCAGGAGGGGAGGCAGTTGGCAGCCGCTGTGGCTGCAGTTGTCCCCGGGAATAATGTGTCCTCTGTCTTCTGAGCAGCTGCCGTGGGGGCGGGGAGGCGCAGCCTGGAGC